AGAGGATTCCTGTGGCATATTGGGACTGGCAGTGGTTGCAGTGAAACCTTTCACAAACTATACTTTAGATGGAGGCATTTTAAGAGTATGAGTGGAGAAATGAATTAAAGGGTTCCCTCTCTGAGTGTGAAATGTTTTTTTCTGTTTAAAACTTCTAGCTGAAACATTTTTTTAAAAAAACCCTTTAAAACTGTGTGCTTTATCACGTGATGTGGTTTACTTTTCAGTATAGATCTTAGTACAGTAGAGTCTCGCTTATCCAACATAAACACATACATAAACGTATTCTCCCCTATGAACCATCAAGATTATTAAGATCGTCTGCTCTCGGTCCCACCGGTCTCGCAAGCGCGTCTGGTGGGGACGAGGGACAGGGCCTTCTCGGTGGTGGCCCCTCACTCTGGAACTCTCTCCCACTGGAGATCAGAACTGCCCCTTCTATCCTGACATTTAGGAAACAGGTGAAGACGTGGTTATGGAGACAGGCATTCGACGAGTGAGCCAATACCCTGAGATATGGATGGAGGATGATGAACGATTTTAGTGTGACGACTGACCATTGTAGTTATTGAATGTAATTGCTGTTTTAAGGTTTTACTGTAATATGAATTATGATGTTTTATTGACGGTATGTGATATTATGGTTGGAAACCGGTCTGAGTCCCTCAAGAGAGGTGAGAAGGTCGGTATACAAAACTTTTAAATAAATAAACAGACCGGCAGAACATTGGATAAGCAAAAATGTTGGATAGTAAGGAGGGATTAAGGAAAAGCCTATTCAACATCAAAATATGTTATGATTTTACAAATTAAGCACCAAAAAACATCATGTTTTTACAACAAATCAACAGAAAACAGCAGTTCAGTACATGGTAATGTTATGTAGTCATTAGGTTCTGAAGAACTTACACAACTAAAGTTCTGGTGGTGAAAACTAGAGGGCACTGGTGCTTTGCTTCTACAGTGTTGCTAAAGTTCTGGTGGTGAAAACTAGGTGCTGGTGCTTTGCTTCTACAGTGTTGCTAAAGTTCTGGTGGTGAAAATTTCAGAACTCTAACAAAACTTTCAAAATTTCATTATAAATGGCAGTTCCTAATTGGTCCTGTCATTAAAATTGCCAATAATGAAATAACAATGAAAATTTGAAAGTTTTGTTAGTGTTCTGAAATTTTCACCACCAAAACTTTAGCAACACTTTAGAAGCAAAGCATCAACTTTAGCAACACTTTAGAAGCAAAGCACCAGCGCCCTCTAGTTTTGTAAATACTTTAGAACCCCAGATGTTTCTGGCCTACAACTCCTAGAAATCCCAGCCAGTTTACAAGCTGTTAGGATTTCTGGAAGTTGAAGGCCAAAAACATCTGGGGACCCCAGGTTGAGAACCACTGCTTTAGAACCATGGATTGCCCATGCCTAGTAGTCATTACTGTATTTACGAATTTAGCATCAAAACAGACAAGGGTTCTTTCTTTCTCACACCATGGAAATTATTCCACATGTAAATATACACTCCACTTCCCTCTCCTGTGGATGCAGGCAGGAAACAGACTGTGTTGGATAATACAGAACGTTGGATAAGTGAGACTCTACTGTACCACATATTTGGGTTTGACTGTATGGAAAAGTTATGTTGAACAGCTTCATCATTTCAAAAAATATACGTTTTTGCAGAGCTTTTCAAATGGTTTTGTAACACATTAATGTGCTGGCTGCAGTGTGTAGTGCGAACATAACAAGAAACTGGGTTGTTGTAGGTTTTTTCGGGCTATATGGCCATGTTCTAGAGGCATTTTCTCCTGACGTTTCGCCTGCATCTATGGCAAGCATCCTCAGAGGTAGTGAGGTCTGTTGGAACTAGGAAAATGGGTTTATATATCTGTGGAATGACCAGGGTGGGACAAAGAACTCTTGTCTGCTGGAGCTAGGTGTGAATGTTTCAACTGACCACCTTGATTAGCATTTGATGGCCTGGCAGTGCCTGGAGCAAGCTTTTGTTGAGAGGTGATTAGATGTCCTTGTTTGTTTCCTCTCTGTTGTTGTGCTGTTGTAATTTTAGAGTTTTTTAATACTGGTAGCCAGATTTTGTTCATTTTCATGGTTTCCTCCTTTCTGTTGAAATTGTCCACATGCTTGTGGATTTCAATGGCTTCTCTGTGTAGTCTGACATGGTGGTTGTTGGAATGGTCCAGCATTTCTGTGTTCTCAAATAATATGCTGCCATGCTGTTGTAAACATTCACACCTAGCTCCAGCAGACAAGAGTCCTTTGTCCCACCCTGGTCATTCCACAGATATATAAACCCTTTTTCCTAGTTCCAACAGACCTCACTACCTCTGAGGATGCTTGCCATAGATGCAGGCGAAACGTCAGGAGAAATGCCTCTAGAACATGGCCATATAGCCTGAAAAAACCTACAACAACCCAGTGATTCTGGCCATGAAAGTTTTGACAATAACAAGAAACCTCTGTGTATGAAATAATATATCAAATATGTTTAAAATATAAATGAAAGGTTTCCATGATATATGTTGTGTTCCCATAACTTTTGTTACTACAATTTATGTATGTGTCCATATCTCTTATAAGGGGTTGGTTTAATCCAGTGCTTCCCAACCTGTGGTCCGTAGACCACCAGTGGGCCGAAAGAACTAAAATATGGTCCACGTCGTCACCGTTACTACACCGTTGCAACGAGAGTGACTGATCTCGCAAAACCCTCTTATTGTGCCGAGTCTTATTAAATATGAGTTTCTGTGGGTGAGCAGATGGCGACTACTGGATAGCATATGTTCTGTATCAGAAACGAGAGCTGATGTGGTCTATCCAATGCAATTTTCTGAATCAGCACCCCAAAAAACCAAACCGAATCTAAAGTTGACCAAAAACTGATTCGTAACCCTTTTGATACTAATGTTGGAGAGTGGCTCCTGGTCAAAAAAAGGTTGGGAACCGTTGGTTTAACCTGAATTACTGTGTCATGAAATGATGAATGTCTAAAAAGTGTATTACTAACGTGAAATGTTTGAAAAACTCTGCATTATTGTTTTAAAAATACAAGTTTTTCCTCACAATAAATGTTTTTGTATAAATCAAACAAAACAACATTTTAAAGAGTTCAGCTAGTCTGTTTTACTAGCTGAATAGCTTTAATGTATACTAATGTGTATCTTATTTTATATGGTATACATTAAGAATTGAGTAGTTTTCTTTAAAGAAAATGCGAACTATTTTGTAACAGCATGCATTGAACAGTACAGAAAGAGAGGGGCAAGAGGCAGGAGAGAGAGTGTTTTACTTGAAAGTGACAAATAGGAAATAGGAGAATTATCAGAAAGCTTCCGGAAGAACAATGGCAGAATTGCTGTACTTTTTGGCTCAGCCTGCACTAAATAATTACATTGAGATTGACAGTGGAAAATGAAATACCTTGAAGTGTTAAAACATTCTGAGCAGTTTGGGAGAAGTTCACAAAAGGTGTCTTTTTCATTCTGTTCATTGTTTGCTGACATTTTTACTGCATCATGGCTGGTTCTTTAGCCATGTAAGGGAATATATTTTGGGCATAGAAGCATACAGGTACTTGCCTATGAGTATCCAATATAGCTTCATAGTTGAGTAACATTTGGGAGGAGCCCCTGGTGGTGCAATGGGTTAAACCCTTGTGCTGGCAGGACTGCTGACCGAAAGGTCGCCGGTTCGAATTTGAGGAGTGGAGTGAGCTCCCATCTGTCAGCTCCAGCTCCTCATGCGGCAACATGGGAGAAGTCTCCCACGGGATGGTAAAACATCCCGGCATCCCCTGGGCAATGTCCTTGCAGATTGCCAATTCTCTCACACCAGAAGCGACTTGCAGTTTCTCAAGTCGATCCTGACATGAAAAAAATAAGATTTGGAAACACATGTTCCCAGAATTTGGCACTGCTGTCTTTGCACAGTGGTATCTAAAGGAGTAATAGTTTGTCTCCTGCTAAAAAAACAATGAGAAATCCTGTGACACTTTAAAGGTTAACAGGTCTTATGACACGTGCTCTTGTGGACTCCATCCCACTTCATCATATGCATGTACTCTTTATTTAGAATTTCAGATGGATACACATACTATGCATACAGACAGGGGCAGCTCAACCCATTACACAAAGTAAGCATTTGCAGTATAGTTGATTTTGCCCAGGGGCGCTCTTGAGGCGCTCTTGGGGGAAAATAGACCTTGACATATGCGAGTTGTAGTTACTGGGATGTATAGTTCACCTACAATCAAAGAGCATTCCGAACTCAACCAATGATGGAATTGAACCAAATATGACACACAGAACTCCCACGATGAACAGAAAATATATATCAGTGATTGGTTTGGGGGGGGGGGGGAACAAAATACGGTTTGCTTACCGTTGAAAATTACCTAGAGCCGCCTCTGCATACAGATATACATACACATGGTTGAAGATAGGACTGTGAACACTAAGAGGAATGAAATGCAGAAAGCATGGACCATGCCAAGTAAAGTGCTATTGCAAACTCTCTGGACTTGTATTTGCATACTTTGTTGGCACTGCTAAGATTAGCTGCAGAAACAAGGGCAAATCGTCAAACTAGAGAAAGTGTTTTGACAGGGTTGTTGTGGGTTTTTTGGGCTATATGGCCATGTTCTAGAAGCATTCTCTCCTGACATTTCACCTGCATCTATGGCAAGCATCCTCAGAGGTTGTGAGCTCAGAGGTTGAGAGACCTCACAACCTCTGAGGATACTTGCCATAGATGCAGGCGAAACATCAGGAGAGAATGCTTCTAGAACATGGCCATATAGCCCAAAAAACCTACATCAACCCAGTGATCCCAGCCATGAAAGCCTTCGACAATACAGTGTTTTGACACTTTGTGGGGAATAAAAGTCTGTAACCTGTCCTAGCATTATAATTAAAGGCAAAAGCCATGAAGGCTAGATTTGCTTGTGATTGTTTGTGTTTTCAAACATGCTAATTTCCTCCTCACTTTCTTTGCAGGTGGCATTGGGGCTTCCTTCCAGTGCCAGTTGATCCATCAAGACCACATCTGTACTGATGACAGTGACAAGGTAATGGAAATTAATACCTGAAGGCAACTCATTTATTTAAGCGTCTGTCTGATGTAATGCAAACCCCTTTAAATGGATTTCTATATCAAAATTGTGTATTTTACCTAGTGATGAAACTGCTGTTCGAAACATATTTTTGTTCATAAAACTGTGAATTCCCCCCCTCTCTGAAGATGTATGTGGACACTTATACGATCTGTGATGGATTATTCGTACACAAAGAATTTCCTTCCTCTGCCAGGGTGCAGTTTTATTACCTTTGACTTGTAAAACATGAATGCTAAGATAGGAAAATCCAGTGCATTTCCATAGAAAGTCTTCCATTTGATTTCAATTCTGAAACTATTCATAGAAGAAGGGGTTTTTTTTAGCAAATTTTATGTTTAGAGATTTAGACAGATGATATTTATGCTGTGTATAAATCTAAAAAAGCTTAATTTGTACGTATGGAGACAGTGCACATGTTAAGTAAAGTGTTTCAGAGCTTTTGCCAACATCCTTTTGCACTGGCTTTCAGCTGGCAAATATCTATGAGCTGTGGCATGTGCTGCTGTTTTATGAGATCACGGAAGCAGTTCAGGATTGGTAATGAGAACTTAATCCACCTTCCAAGGAATTGCTGATTTGGTTTTGAAGAAGCAAGTTTCCAGCTCTAAACAGCAGTGAACATATCCTGAAAATGTGTATTTAAGGCATGTTCACCCCTTGGTGGTACAGTGGATTAAACCGCTGGGCTGCTGAACTTGCTGACCAAAAGGTTGCCAGTTCAAATCCAGGGAGTGGGGTGAGCTCCCACTGTTGGCCCAGCTTCTGCCAACCTAGCAGTTCAAAAACATGCAAATGTGAGTAGACCTCTGTGAGTGGTTTTGTGATTAAGTTAGGAGAATGTCTATTGAGTTGGAAGTCTAGGAAACAAGCGGTTGTTTGTTTGTCAACTTCTGAGGCCGAGTTTGCCAGTTTGACAGAAGCATGTAAGGAGATGTTGTGGTTCAAGAAGTTAGTTGAAGATGCTGGTATTAGGTTAGACGATAAAGTTCAAGTTTTTGTAGATTCACAAACATGTATAGAATTAGCAAAGATGGAGTGTCTGAAAGCTAGGTCTAGATATGTTGGTGTTAGGTATGCATATGTAAGAGAATCAGTTAGCAAAGGTGAGGTGTGTTTAAACTATGTAATAAGTGAGGAAAATTTGCAGATGTGTTGACAAAAACTTTAGGTGAAGAAAATTTTCTAAGGTTTTCAGAAATGTTGGGTTTAGTCAGTGCATGAGGAGGGGTGTCAGATTTTACAATGTATTGTAATGTAATATAGCTGAGTCATGCACTGCTAATGGGCTTCTATTGGAAATGCTGAGTCATGCATTAACTGTATATAGGAATCATTTGGGGAATGTGTTCTGGCCTAGTCCAGGTGATTGTGAATGATGTAATCCTGGGTCTGAGTTAAGTTAATGAGTTGGGAACCAATCAGAGATTGCTATGTGTAATTGTATATAAGGAAGTCATGTACAGTGTATATTTCTCCTTGTGCTGTGATGTTGTTCATCAAAGGCTATATGTAATTAAAAGAACCTGTCTGCTAAGACAAGATATAACTGTATGCTGTGGTAAGTTTGTAATATCATCTAGACTGGGGGAAAGACAATGGTAAAACTGACAATGGCCGAGCATGTGCTCAAGTGTCTGTAAAAGGTTCCAGAGTGACTGCAGGCTGTGGGAGCAGTTGACTGAAAATACTGTGCAGGAAGAAGCTACTGGAAAGTGCTGAAGTTGTGCAACTGATCTGCTGCTGAATTGTGAAGTTAATCTCAACAAGATCAATAGGTACTGCTTCTGCAGAAAGGTAATGGCGTTCCATGCAGTCATGCTGGCCACATGGCCTTGGAGGTGTCTACGGAAAACGCTGACTCTTCGGCTTAGAAATGGAGATGTGCAGCACTCCCCAGAGTTGGACATGACTAGACTTAATGTCAGGGGAAACCTTTACCTTCACCTCAGATCTCAGAAGCCAGAAAGGGTGCTGGGTAATATTTCTAATGGTTGGCAGTAGGGATTTAGTATGCCCAACTCTTTGCTAGTTCTAAGAATTTGCAAGTATTTAAATAAATTATGGAAACTGTATCAGAATTATTCAAAGATATTACACAAATCCTGATGTTGTTGTGTGTGGATATCAGGCCTAACAGGCTATCTTTCCATATATTTTACCAGTACATTTTCTTCCTTTTTTATCCCTAAACTTGATTTGGTGCATTTGAAACATAGAAACCACATGAGTAGGTGGTTACAGTGCAACCTCTTAGATTCAACTCCATGTGATAAGCCACTTCCCATATGGCTTGTGTGGGTTTTAACTGTACCAGCACAACATCCTAAACACGAGAAAAGTGCACTCAAATCATGTGGGTAGTGGTTAGCTTAAAGTACATGTGATTAGAAACTTCTCTTTCATGCACAAATTTCATTTAGTCACCCACATAGGTCAGCGGCATGTATTAAGTAGGCTTTTATCTCCATTGCACACTACACAAAGTGTAGAAATAATTTCCATGGTTTTCTGAGTTTTGCAGAAAAGGACAAAACCTTCACAGACGATTTGTAAGGTTGATCATAAAATAACACGTCATGTCTCTAAGGCTGTTCACTTTGGCTGAGAAGAGGTAGGAAAGATCATGAGGGTACGTTTCTGTTGACTTCGCTTTTCCTATAGTTTTTAGATTTGACTTTTTAGGGTACGAGAGATAGAAGGGATTTGCAGACATCTGTTTGGATTATTCTGCCTGAACAGAAACATTTCTCAGATTGAGGCTATGGAGAAGATTCTTTGCACTTCTGCTGCCTAGCCATTTTGGAGGAAAGGAAAAAAATACTTGCTCCTGAGCTCTGGACTTTTAAGTCTAAGCAGTAGCTGTGTTTGTTTTTTTCCTGCTGTTTTCAAGGTTGGAGAAAGACATGCTATCAGGTTCCAGAAATGCATGATATCATTCAAAACAGGTCTGGTTCCTGTGGTCTAGGTTGCACCTGGCTTTAGAGCTTTAGAGCTCGATTCAGCAGCAGATGCAGGTGGTCTTGATCTGGGAACCTATTTCTTTTTCTGTCTCAATTCCTCAATTATAAGTGGAAGAAAGTGCTCACGCATAAGATAGCTGTACTTTTTTTAGAAGATTGTTTCACGGTTCCCTTCAATAATCAGGTGCAGTGTAAATGCTGAATGAAAATGACTTTGTACTTGAGAACAGTGGTGCTTTTGAATGTGCACCTTTCTGTGCCTCATGCTGAAATATGCTGATATTATTTCACCTTTTCTTTCTGTTAAGAGGGTAGGCAAGGTAACATCATTCCTCTCAACAGTGAAGGTGGGATTGCATTACTCTTTGAGAAGGTGCGTCACACCGTCTGTTCACACACACAGGTATGGAAAGAGGCCACCACAGGCTATTGAGAACTGACTAGGCACTGCAAGGCTTGGGCATTTGTTTTGGAACATTTTCTCGTAACATAGGAAAAGTCATTTCTTGTGACCAGAAAATATACTGTTTGTAAAACCCATGACTAAAGACTTGCAAGGAACCACATTTTCTCTACTGCTTCACTAGTTACGTGACCCTGTTAACTTCTTCAGTGATAGGCCATGCAGTTTGTTGTGTGGGGAGGCTACTGATTTGGTAAGAAAGATTGATATCAAGGCTGACACCTTCCCCCTTTAGAAGGGAGAGGAGAAAGGAGGAAAGTGAGTTGGGAGTACACCTTATTCAGCTTTGTATGGGCCCCTTCCATGGGATCCTTTGGGGATTACAGCAATCATTGAGCCTGAACTCAGCTATGGTTCCTTTATCTCTGCCATGTTGTTTTTTTATCATGTTGTTATGACTGTGTTGTTTTTATTTTATCCATTGATTTTAACTGTGTTTCTGTTTTTAATTTGTAATTTTTGGGCTTGTCCCTTGTAAACCTCCCCGAGTTCCCTTGGGGAGATGGTTGGCAGGGTATAAAAATTAAGTTATTATTATTATTATTATTATTATTATTATTATTATTTTAGTGACACAAAAACACAGTATGTCATAGCAAATGAGATCTATATGCTGGATTTTGTAACAAAAAAATCACAAGTCGAACACTTCCCAAGCGTCTAGGACTGTGTGATGTATTTTCGAATGATGTGCGCAGATCCAAGTAAGGTGGCCTTTTGCATTTGACAAATCGTTATTTTGTCAATGTTTATTGCTTCCTATTATTATTGTTGTTATTATTGTTGTTGTTATTATTATTGTTTTACTGACGCCAAACACAGTATGTCACAGCAAACGAGATATATATGCTGGATTTCGTATCACAAAATCACAAGTTGAACACTTCCCAAGCGTCTAGGACTGTCTGATGTATTTTTGAATGATGCGCACAGATCCAAGTAAGGTGGCCTTTTGGAGTTGACAGATCATGATTTTGTCAATGTTTATTGTTTCCAAATGCCGGCTGAGATCTTTTGGCATGGCATCCAATGTGCCAATGACCATTGGGATCACCTGTATTGGTTTATGTCAGAGCCTTTGCAGTTCAATTTTGAGGTCTTGATAGTGGCTGAGTTTTTCCTGTTGTTTTTCCTCAATGCGGCCGTCACCTGGTATGGCAACATCAATAATCCAGACTTTTTTCTTTTCCATAATCGTGATGCCTGGTGTATTGTGTTCCTATTATTATTATTATTATTATTGGAATGCCTCGTTCCATAGCCAGAATTTCACTAGCTTCCTGAATTACTATTACTATTATTATTATTATTATTATTATTATTATTATTATTATTATTATTATTATTATGTCCCCTGTCCCCCTGAGAACAAAGCAAACCCAGAATTTGCTTTTACTCCTTTCAACTGCAGCTGAGTTGCTCTTCCTTTGCCACTTGGGATTCAGCTGTACTGCTTGCTCAGGAGCTGGCAGGGCTTCTTTAGGATTGCTCATTGTTCTGATCAGGATGATATTTGAACCTGGCTTGGC